TTTTTTGTTTTGATTTGAACAAAGTTGATTTTGTGTACAATGATTCTTTGACAGTGTGCAAAGAGTGCGTATCATTTTGTCATTTTTTTATGCATTTTAGTTTTGAGTAGAGTGAAAGAGATAGAACCAAAACATTCTAATACATTTGGTGAAAATGCTAGTACAATCCAGTAGTAGTGTTGCCATGTGGTACAATCATAGAGGTAACTCTAAGACCACTGGGTCCCGAAGAAAATCATTATTATTTTTGGCTCACTCAGTACCAGAACAACGGTCCCAAGCAGTCCCAAGCTATTTCACTCACCCCTGCATGTTCTGCATGAATCCACACACCCCTGATGTTATCTGTCAAACTTTCATAGCGAATCAAAACAAACATAGTGTAGTAATAGAATTTCAACTAGAATAGGGTACGTTAATCGTTTGCTTGGGACCAATAGGCTACTACACAGAAAAAAAAGTTGTTGAATATTACATCCAAACTGCTGCAACCAGGTCAATCCATCGGTTGTGTAATATAACGTTGTACGATGTACATCGATTTTGCAAACAAAATTACATCCATTGATGTAATATTGTATCTGCTTTTTGCTATTACATCAATATTTCATACATCAGCTTGAATTACATTGATCGATATTACATTTTTTTTTGCTGTGTAAAGTGGTGAGCCAATTTAAAATCGTTAGATTCGTATTGATTGTTGGTACAATCTAGTAGTAGTGGTGTTGCCATGTGGTACACTGAAAAATTGAAATAGCAGGTTAGTCACCAAAGTTTTCGAGCCGCTCCGTCTGTCACTTCGTTTGTGCTACTACTGGATTGTACTAGCATTTTCACCAAATGTATTAGAATGTTTTGTTTCTATCTCTTTCACTCTACTCAAAACTGAAATGCATAAAAAGATGACAAAATGATACGCACTCTTTGCACACTGTCAAAGAATCATTGTACACAAAATCAACTTTGTTCAAATCAAAACAAAAATTCTAACCCATCTGGTGGATGATGGCACAAGCTTCTAAGAAAATTCTATTACAGCGAACCACATTATTTTAATTGATTTCTTCGCCAGTAAGTCGTCTGTCACTTCGTTTGTGGTTTACGTTCGGTTTAACTATATGCTTTATATGCACTTCGCTTAATGCATGCAAACGATTCTTTATGCTTTCAGCTTCAATTTGACTATATTTTTACCACTTAGAAAAAGCAATCTAGCAAGGTTTTCTTGAAATGCAAAACCCGCACTACAAATTGTAGCTGATTTCGAGTTGCCGATAATAGAACAGCAGATTTACACGCAGTTCAAATGGAACGGTTGCCGAAGAAAAACTGGTTGCCGACAATACTCGCTCTCACTAGAGAAGATTGGAGCTTTGTAAAAGCGTTTCAAACAGTTTTTGACAATTCTTTCGACTGAAATTGTTAGAGTAGCTGGCAGCAAAAGATTGTAAACAAACCAATACTGCATATGTGTGCGTTCCTTAGAGAAAAAGGCTATAGAAAGATGGTCGCTGCTTAGGTTGCCGAGAATACGTAAATTCCTCTATATCATATAATCAACGATAACATTTCTAGATAAATTCTCTCAATTAATGATTAGAGAGATTAATTGAAAGAATATCAATCAAAGATTAAACGATGCTTGTTACTACTTCCTCCATGATCACAGAATGTGAATTATGGCATAATTACATATTTTTTCAATGTGCACAAATAAATTAAATTAATAAAAACTGTACAAGCAATTATTTTGGCGTACCACGACAATTGTTAAACTTATTTTAATCTGTGAATATTGTGAGTACTTACACAACGGTTATTAAGGAGTCATTAAAAAGTGCTATAAACGCTTTTCACCGCTTGCTGTATAGTGATTATTTAGGAGTCATAAAAGAGTGTAACAAACGCCTCTCAGGTTCAATCTCTAATACATTTCGAAGCAGCTGTTAGGAGGTGTCTACAAACATTGTATTAGAGCTTTCACCAAAACAATAAAGCTTGAGTTTAAATATGTATCTATAAACGTTGTATAAAAGTTGCTTCTATCCGGTTGTTAAGGAGTCATTGATAAGTGCTATAAACGCTTTTCACCGCTTGCTGTACAATTATTATTTAGGAGTCATAAAAGAGTGCAACAAACGCCTCTCAGGTTTACTCTCTACTAAATTTCAAATCAGCTGTCAAGAAGTGTCTACAAACGTTGTATAAGAGCTTTCACCAAAATAATAAAGCTTGAGTTTAAATATGTATCTATAAACGTTGTATAAAAGTTGCTTCTACTCCTATACCGCGTATACATATAATGCTGTAGTTGAACAGGTTCTCCAAACCAGTGTAAACAAGAGTTTTACAGAAGTTGTAATAAACAAATTGTACAGTTATTATTCAGCATGCAGTTGAATAAATCACAATGGAAGCGTTTCTTCAACAAGAATTTGATTTTGGGTAAACGTTTTACTGAATACGTTAGACAACACCTTTGTGTTGCAGTTGTATAGGTTCTCCAAACCAGTGTAAACAAGGGTTTTATAAAAGTTGTGGTGAACACATTGTGCAATTATTATTCAACATGCAGCTGAACGAAATCAAAACGAAAGCGTTTCTTCAACTGGAAATTGCTACTTGGGTTTTCTCTAGCATCTAATACGACAAACACAACTCGAAACACAACAAGAAACGGTTATGTGGTCAAGTTATTAACGAAAGAGAAAGTCGACGAAGAGCATCGGTAAATGTTACTTAGGACCTAATGCAATCCCGACCAACCGTTCGTGAAACTTCTTCAAAGTTCTTTATATAGAAATAAAGATTTATGTCGGCAATTCCTTACTTTAAATGTTCAATGATTTCGATGTACACATTTAAAAATCTTTATTGATCGAAACTTACATTTAAGGAGTTGGTTGGAAATGCTAACATGAAGCTTTAGTGTGATGATTTATTAGCTAGAGAATGTTCTTTAGAAGAGAGTAGGCGGATAGTTCCGTTAGAGTACGGCAGTATGAAAATTGAATAGAAGTTGAAAATGAGCGAAGGGCCATTAATGCGACAGTTTTTGAAGTTAGACGCACATCTTTTGCCTAACCCGTACGATGTACGCGGAGACTTGAAGTATGTCTCCACGTCTACAGGCAAAAAATGTGCGTCCTTCTTTTGCTAATAAACTGACTGCGGCTGTGGAATAGTTCTAGCGACGTTTTCATCACTACGATTAGACTTTTAGCATATTTACAATTAATCATGTTTTGTTGTTTTTGACATCATCCACATCCAGAGGGCCAGTCACTTTCGAATGTATGGGAATGGTAGGAAACCATTTGAAAATGCATGAAAATTTTCAGTTTTTATTCATTATCGTCTTTATGGGCAGTTTTAGATGCACAAAAATTGCACGAGTACATTACTATGGTGATAAGGTAAACACTCGTTTATTTGTTTTCTTCTGTGAAAGCATTTTTAGTCACAAATCGTGGATTTTCTGGTATTCTCCATACTGCAAAAATGATTTTCCTACCACTGAAGGGGCGACATCTATCGGATCTTCTACTCAAATCATATAATTAATTATTCATGAAAAGGTGACGATCGCTATCGATTTTTCTGATGAATGCTTTGAAGATCGATGTATAGAAAATCAAAGAAAATTAACGAAATGATTGGTCGGGATGTTCAACTTGAATTGTATTGGTTTGCGTGGGCGTACTTCGATTCGCGTGTAAAGGGCCTTACAACTTTTGTTTACAAAAGCTTTTGAGCCGTTATCAAATGCTACGCCTGAAATAGTGCAGACAGAATAGGTAACAAACAATCGTTCCTTTTTCCGAACCTTTTTCACTGCTTTCATTTCATTTCCTTGAAGCTGTGCGATCTACCCAGTCACTGAGTAGCCTCAAAATAGCGTGTATGGTTTTGACAGATGGGTATATTCACATTTGAACCGGCCGTTGTAGAACACGGTAATTCTGAAGAACCCACTAAATGAGTAGTACTATCTTTGGTCCCAAGCTAATCGATGCACCTCTCGAAACATAGGAAAATCCACGAACCCCTCATTTTATCTCTCAAACTATAGCAAAAAAAATGTAATATAGATCAATGCTGATGTATGAAATAATGATGTAATATATTTTTTTTTTTCTTGGATTTGTTTTCCGTCGATCTTGTTTTCCGTGCTGAGCACCAATGCTACCGACACCAGGAAGGCAGCTCCCACACCTGGACCCTACCTATCGACCCATCAACTCATGAACCGGGGACCAACGGCTTTACTTCCCTTCCGAAGGAAGGCGTGATCAGAGATGTTATGCCTCAAAACATTCCGGCGGCGCCGACTGGGATTAAACCCAGGCCTGCTGGGGTGAGAGGCAATCACGCTTACCACTACACCACCGGCGCCGCTAATGATGTAATATATAATTATATATGTATATATAATATCAGCCATAACATTTGATAACGGCACAAGCATTTGTAAACAAACTTTCTAAGGACCTTTACACGCGAACCAAAGTACGCCCACGCAAACCAATACCACTTTCGGAAAGGTGATAGTTGCCCCTATCCGATGATGTTGTTGGTTTGCGTGAGCGTACTTTGGTTCGCGTGTAAACCCTAATAAAAATTGTATGGTTAATTTGCTTAACGACGTGTTCTGGGTATCATCCAAACCATTTATGGAATAGTTCAATGATTGGGGTTATCATTCGTTTATGGTTAGTTTTTATTAGGGAAGGGCCTTAGAAAGTTTGTTTACAAATGCTTTTGTGCCATTATCAAATGTTATGCCTGCATTTTTATTATATTATTATTTATTTCAGCTTTATTACATTTATTTCGTCGTTATTACATTTATTACATAACACTACATTAAGTTTTTTGTTCTGTGTGCCCCTCGGCTCGAGTCACATGACTGTTAAAACATTTGTGAAGCCCCTTCTTCACTCATTTTCTTTTAGTCTTTCTCAGCTCTTCGTTCGGTGTGGTGGTGGCATTGTTGTGTGTGCAGTGTTTTTCCTGTGCGGTTTTTGCGACGACAGTTTGGCCGCTGTCTTCTGTATTCCGATTCCGATTTGCGACTGTGCTTGTGTGCCCCTGACTGACATAATCGCCCAGTCTGTATTATATTCTTCGACGCCGGGTGGTGTAGTGCAGGCAGAAGTAGCAGGACAGAATAAGGTGGAGGAACAGCTCGTAGCGCACAACACATCTAACCCTCACGGCAGTTCGCTTCCTGCAAACGTTCCAGGCAGCAGCACTAATCAACATACCAGCAGATCCCGCGTCATCGTCGGCAAGCAGGGAGATTGAATTGAATTCAATTAAGAGGAGATTCTTCGAGTAGAACAGGAGGGTTCGGAAAAGGAATACTATACTGTGATATATAGTGTGGAACAAAAGACCGGATTAGGCGAAAAAAGATGAGCTCTTTGGCATTGCGATTTGCGCCGCGGTTCGGCAAAACCACTGCTGCGGCCGTGGCCAACTCGTCCCAGAAGGTCAACAGCTACTATACCTACTCGAACCAGATCTCGCAACCGCTGGAACGGAAACCGACCTACACCACGGCCGAGGAAGCGGTCAAAGTGATCAAATCAGGTAAGTTCACGTCACTTACTTTGCCGTGGGTTACGGTTACTTGTGTTGGTACATGCCATTTTGGTATGTATTAGCAAGGAAGCAAACCACCAGAGTCACGAGCCTCCTTTGCTGTCGCAATGAACATTGAACTGCGGAGGCATGTTACGCAATCAGTTTTTTTTTTTGCTCCATCGCGATTTGTTTTCCATTCGAATTATCTATTCTAATAACGGTCGGTATAGGATCCCGAATGAGGTCAACTCAATGAGCAGCCTCTGATTCTGACTTTGGCCTAGAAAGGGGTATGTGTGTACTTTGGAACAGAGTTAATCAGTAGTGTCGGGGTCAAGAGTTCACTCAGCAATCAGGGTAAATAGGTATTTTCCGGGCTACTCTGAGACTACACTCGTTCTGATCGCAAGAAAGTGAAGTATTAATACCGATCACGATCAGAGAGAGTTCGCAAAATGAGACAGGAATTTCTTAAAATAGCATCAGAAAAACGATACGCGTAAATTAAATGGCATAACCAAAACAACGTCATAGCGGACTGGTAGTTTCCTAGCTAAATAATTCATAATGGCGCATCGGGTAAGGTCGCGCAGTTCATAATCTAGAAGTAGTTGCTGACATTGACCTTGGAATTATCTTACGGATTTAAATGTATAATCTAAGTTCAATTCAGCTTAGGAGTTGATCAGCACACTAACTGAATACATATATAATCTATAGCAGACACATAAACTTGGTTCATTATCATCAACCTACAAACTTCTGGGAGCGTTCAAGTGTACAAAGTATAGAGGGTCTGTGTACTCCGTACTTTGAACTTTTCGAACGGAAAACAACCCCATAGTGACGGAACTGTTATCAATTTGTTTATGTGGAACATACATTTCATACGTATTATTCCATTTAACGAATCAGTCAGTTTGGTTTGCACTTCTTGAGTTACATTGTGGGGCTCGTTCTTCTTGGATTAAGATTAACAAGCTGTATTTGTATCTATTTCTACTTGATAGGGCAAATGGCTCCAATGTTGGCCTATGGATCTAAAGATTAGATCCATATAATTTTCTTAGAACAATGCGCAATCCGAACAATACAAATGGATATTTTTGATTACTATTGTAAAATTGTAAAAAGATTCTTTCCTTCGAAATGTATGTACGGGTCCAATATTAGGGACACTTAGGCCGACATTAGGGACATCAACCCTATGTGCTATCAATTCACACTTGGCATTCCGGTTGATCGTTTTCAAGTATGCCGACGAACCTAATAAATAGACATGTCAATTCAATAAACACGTCTACATTCAGAAACGTGCAAGTATTCGCAAGAATATACTCAACAATAAAACGAACACGATAGCGGGGGTGGTGTATAAGGTAGTCAAACGAGTTTAGCCTGTGAGCAAATACATCAGTGCTGCAGCAGTACTGCATATAGGCATTTATTTCAACAAAGATTATAAAAAAAAAACAATTATCTATGATACCACTCGTTTCATCCGTTATCAGAGATAATACAAGTCTACGTTGCACTACTACATACTAAGATAGGGGAAATGGCTCTAATGTTGGCCTATGGATCATCGCTAAAAATCTGCTATTTATCAATTTTATCTAGATGAACGCGGATGGAATATTTTTGAACTATTGAAAATTTAGTCGATTGCTGAATTTATGTATGGGTCCAAATTAGGGGCATTTAGGCCAACATTACATCCATTTCCCCTATCTTATAATATCACCCGATACATTCTACTTGACGTTACAACGGTTTTTGCCTATTTTCTACAGTTTTCGTACCGTAACTTAAAGTAATCTTTATATATTCAGAAAGTATGTTAAAATTCCTATAAGAATTGATCAAGAGTTTCTGATTTGAGTAGCTGACAACGTCTTTATTTATCACACTTAAAAAAAAGTATCACACTTTCAAAATTTGCAATAATATTTAAGGGGGGTAAGGTGCTTTCATTTTATTTTTCAGAGTACAAAAACTGTCAAAAAATCAGGCAAAAACGTGGATACGCCCTGGTAGAATGTGTCAACAGTATCATGATGATTGCTAGGATTCTTCAACATTACACAGTGATGTGTAAATTGGATGTGAACTAGCTGTCTAAATGGTGCAAATTATGCTAAACAGTGTCGGTATCTTCTTGCGCACCTGAAATTGATGATAACTATATTTTTCCGGTCCGTACGTTTTGGTGCTTATCCGACTGCTGTTATATTTTTTTTTCGCACTATTATTATGCCAAGTCCACAAAACTGTTATGAACATATCTTCACGAGCATTGCCACGGCCAAGTAAATATACTTATAGAGTTTTTTTTTGACGTAGGACTACGTCTTTGATTTCTATATAGGGGTACACTTTGTGAAAACCGAAAGGGAACATGTAACAAATTAAGAAAGATTTTGAACGTTAATAACTCAGCTGCCCCTGGTCCAATTTCAATTATTTTATCACCAATCGATCAGAAATATGGCTACGCATCGATAACAATGCTTCCGAATGTTGATTTTCAACAAGAAACTATTGGAAAACTGGTAAATGTCCAGCATTGTCCAAAAGCGTCGAATTAACTAACAAATCCACCAATTACCTACATGCATATGCTGCTTCCCCAGCACAGTCGTCAGAGAGTAGTAAGTAGACGAAACAAGTCGAAGTGGCATTCGCCTCCGATCCTCGGGCGCGTGCGAATAGGGAGGATGGAATTGCGTAATATTTTGCACACTCATCGCCATATTCAGAACCAAACGCAAATTCTTCGAGATAACCACCATCCGTCGTCTGGCTCGCCATGGCGGTGTCTGACGTATCTCCGGTCTGATTTACGAGGTGTGCTGAAGGTGTTCCTGAAAAATGAGATCCATGATGCTGTCACCTACACTAAACACGCAAAGCAACTCATGAACAGGGGATCAACGGCTTTTCTTCCCGAAGGAAGGTGGGATCAGATATTTTATGCCTCAGAACATGCCGGTGCGACTGAGATTGAACCCAGGCCTGCTGGGATGAGAGGTAATCACGATAACCACCCGCGCCGATATCTTTCAAGGCGAATGAGATCGGCCCAAATTTGAGTTTAGTTATCTCAGAAAGAAGAAATAAAGTGCAGGAACTCAACGATGAGTAAATTTGCCTCATGTTTTCCGAGGATTTTCCAGGAAAAAATCCCGAATTTGAGAAAACTAAAGATTGGATTCACTCAGTCTATTGGTACTACTCCGAGACTGAATAAAATTTTCGACAATTTCCTCATTTTCTGGCAGATTTTTTAGGTTTTCCACAGGAAACCATGAGACAAATTTACTCATCGCTGAGTTCCTGCACTTTTGGCGATTATGAGTGAACTAAACTCAAATTTGGGTCGTTCTCATTCGCCGTGTACGCAAAAGGAAAAGAGCCAATGTCGCTACTTGATAGCAAACTACTCATAATAGGAGGAGTCTTTGTAGCTTTTATACCACTTGGTTGCACATCATTCTGCTTTAATCTGAAAAGATATAAAAGAGCGCTGCTGTATGGCATTAGCTCATTTTCGCTTCGGACGGCGTGGTAAACAGCAATAGCAGCAGAAGGAACAAGCAACAATTGACTGGTCGTGGCAAAGGAGGAAAAGGTCTTGCGTCATCGCAAAGTTCTTCGAGATAACCGCCATCGGTCATCTGGCTCGCCGTGGTGGTGTCAAACGTATCTCCGGTCTGATCTACGAGGTGTGCAGAAGGTGTTCCTGGAAAATGAGGTCCGTGATGCTGTCACCTACACTAAACATGCCAAGCGTAAGTGGCCATGATGTCCTCTTCAATAAAACGGCCCTTTTCAGGGCCATCAAGCTTACATCAGTAAAGAGTTGGAAAAGAATTTATCTGTGCTTGTTTGTCCATATTCAGAACCACAAGCCCCCAACGACCACACAAAATGCTCTCCAGAGTTGTAATCTTGTAACCAAACTTGAAAGCAGTGGTACAAGTGATTTTGATTGATTCTCTTAATCAACTTTCACTTTGAAAAAAATTACTACAAATTTGGTACGCCTACAATTCAAAAACGGAAAGAGCTTAGATAATAGATAATTGATCAATTAAAAAAACTAAATGCTCTTCACATTTATTCCGTCCACTAGCGGTCCTACGTCAAGCTTCCGTTCGTGCCCCTAGGCACAGACCATTCTACTTTTTCAATTAGAACTCGATACGTCAAACGATAAATACATCAGCTCATATTTTTTGTAGCTGAATTATTAATGAAAGAGAAAATCGACGGAGAGAATCATTCAGTGTAGGTACATTATTGGACATTTTACATTGACATTGAATGAACGCCATTTATCCGAATAGAACATTTCTCAAATAGTGTTTTTAACCGAATGAAGCAAGGGTCAGTCAGCCCAATCATTTTGAAAATAAACACATGAAACTATGAATGGTGTTCTATGCAACATTATAGAAAGTTCTGTCAAAAATAAAGTCTTAAAAAAAAGGGAAAAAATTTATTATAGAATATCCAAATGTTTTTTTTTTCAAAAATGCCTGCATTGAGCCATTACGAATAATGATTAATTGAAGAATAGGTAAATATTTGTTATAATTGCCCGCATAAACGCGAACCATAAATTTACCTTACCTAAAATGGTTAAAAATTGTTTATAATCCCTGCTAAACTTTAACTGAAATGGTTATGGAACTTTACATGAACGTTTAATGATAAAGTTTCAACCTTATGTATTATGGTTTTTTGGAACTGGACCTTACAAATAATGGGTTGTTAAGAACCATTACCATTCCAAATTCTTGTTTTCTCCATACATTTTCAGAAAGAGAGCTATATAAGAACGTTTTTACTTATGATTTGAGAACATTAATGGTAATGGTTATGGTAGTCAGTAAGGTCCATTAATGGTTTTGTATTATCGCTCAACTTTACGTGGAATATATCGTGAATTGGTAATCAGTAAATTACAGGCAACCAATTCGCGATATATTCCACATAAAGTT